CATGTTGCTGTGCGTTCCAGAATGGATCACTCTGCTCTACGTTTATGACAAGGCAAGTTTGGTGTCCAACCACATTTGTTGTATGTAGCATGACCTAAGCATATTCGTACATTTCCCTTGTGTCTTTCTTGTTGGGGAAGAGAAGTGTACTGCATTTTCTTAGCAGACCAATTGTTCATTTTCTGTGCTCTGTCATATATAGCAGAATACAACTTTTACTTGGTCAATCTAATTGTGTATTGTTTTTCTCAGTCTGGATAAGTCATATGCCACTAGATATCAGTAAATATTTTTTATTTTCTTGATGTTTTGTTAATTTTTGTGGGTGCTTTACTGAAATTGGACTTCACTTTAAACAATCAAAGCACTACTAATGTAACTTTCATATTATAAGAGCAATCCGTATAATCCTTCATTAGATGTACCTACCCAGTTCTCCTGAACATAGGAGTACCACACCTGTGCCGTTTAGTTTTTCTTGGAAAGTGCTCCTTTCCATCTCCAAGGCCACCAGTGGAAAACATCTACAAATATCAGTTACCCTACTCCTGGCTTGACAATACACTGTACCAGGAAATATATAACTAATCCATGCTGATCTTTTTGACTTCTCTTTACAGAAGAGAAGAAACCGTTGTTAAACAGTAGGACAGCGCAAAGCAATGGAAACCGCAACAGAGAGGTTATAGGTATCATTTAACATGTTTTCACATTTCTATTGCCCTCTGTGCCATTTGTTGAATAAGACTGAAAGCATGTAACTTTGATCTGCACTTGCTTAGACTGTGATTAAAGGTCAACTCCAGCTTTGGCAGACACTCCCCCACATACATACCTAAATTCCAGGTGACTTCTGGTCAGTGACATGACTAGTATTGTCCTTTTTTTTCTATGGTTGTGTAATAGAACGGACACAGTGAAACTAGAAAAGCCGTTTTATGAACTATAGCTTGTGACATTAACATATCAAAGTGTAAATGAGATTTGGGAATGTGTTAGCTATTTTCAATGTTTTATTACCAGTTGATCCTTCCAGTAGATTATTCAGTAGGTACTTTGCCACTTCCTGTAACAGACCAAGGTGTCCAACAAAAAATTGTTACAGTGCTGGATGCAAACCATACAAACACTGGTGGGGTGCTTAAAACTGTTTTTTTTTTTTTATGTTTAAACCCTTTTTCCAAAAGGAAAAAAACTTGCTGTAGCTGCTTAAACATTTCATTTTATTGCATCTTACAGGACTACAGTGTGCGTATATATATATATATATATAATCACAATTTGAACAGTATTATAGGGCTTGATTTTATTTGTGTAGGCTTTATTGAAGAAAAAAAAACAAACGTTGCAATTGTTTAATTTACATTTGGTGTTCAGAAGTGGTTGGTACAAGCAGTCCGTAAAAAAAGTAATTTGTCAGACTTCCAAGGAAAGCAAATCATTGGTGCCTATTCAGCTAAAGTGTCCGTAACCATAACAGCCAAATTGTTTGGCTTTTCAAGAACAGCCGCTACAGTTATGACTTCATTGGTGAAGAAGCATAGTAGCTGAAATCCCAAACTGAATGACAGGGTCCTTCGAACACTAATAGGCCAAAAACACAACTATTGCAACAAAAGTGACAGCAGAACTTAGATCAGTGTTGAAGACGCTGTTCCCACAAACGTAGTCCACTTGAACTACACAAAGCGAACATCAATGAAGAGCTGAAACTAATGCTAAAATTGTTGGTCCCCATGCTTCTTTACCAATGAAGTCTTGCCATACTTTGCATGAGGTCATAAACATGGAGACTGATGCACTTGAAACACCAATTGTGGTTATGGTCTAACTAAACCAAGGATTTGTCGTCATCTTTGGAAGATTGACAAGCCACCCATTTCATTGGCCATTCATAGCAACCGCTGCTGTAATACACTGGCATAGAACCTAGATAGCATAGACAAAGAAAAGATAAACGAAGGATAAATCTCAACTTTTTTTTATTTTTATTGTAGCCTACAAAAAGATACAATTAAGCCCTATAATATTGTATTAATACATGATGTGTTCATATCCTGTATGTAATTTTTACCCTTAGTTCCACGTTACCTTTAATAATGTAGATACCCCCTTTGTAAAAGCCACTGTTTACCAGGCACCCAAGTGACCTTAATACCAGTACTCCTTAATTGTGCACTTTTATTTGCTATATATTTGTGTATAAACATTGCCAAGCAACCTTCTGTATTTCTGCTTTTGCAGCCGAACTTGAGAACCCCCTTCATGTGTTCGTTTTGTGTTCCCTTTCACACAAAACATACCCAAAAATTATTTACCTTTCTAGTTGTTTCGTTGGAGCAAGATTATACATAAGATAAAACATTAGATGGCAACGTACAGATATGAGATTTTTTTTTTTTAAAAGTGCAGCAACATAAAATATGCCACCCAAACCTTGAGATCTTCAACCCTTTGTTAGTATAGGCAGTCCTGCAGATCTAGTTTTCAACTCGTGAGATCTGCCAGAACAGTACAGACAGGATTAATTATGACAACCCCCTCCTTGACATTACATAGAAGGATGAACATGAGATTTTTCAGCAAGTAAAAAAGGTAAGCAGAAATTATGAATTTTTTATGTGATATTTTTTAAAGTTATGCCATGTGAATGGGAACACGTAACAAGCCAAATTTGGCTGCAAAAGGTGAAATACACTTTAAATACATACTTTTATCTTCTGACTAAAGTGCTTTAAAGCCCAACCCTAGGCTTGAGGTACTCGGCATTCCCTGGGATCTCACCAGAAGCATGGTGACATCACCCACTGCAGTGCAGAAGCTGGGTCACTGCAGGTATTTTTCTTCTTTTCTTACCCCACTGGCTTTTACGTTTTCATTTTACTACAGCATTTTGGCATTGGAGGGATCTACATAATAAAAAAAACAAACAAAAAAAAGCAGACCTTGCTTTGTAGTTCAAGGAATGCTTTAAGAAAAATACATTTAGCCTGGAGGTGGGCTTTAAGCAGACCTCCGGGCAACAGCTAAATAAGCATTTTAAATACCTACATTTTTACTGTTCTAGCTGACAAAATTTACAATTTTATGCAGCAAAGCTTGTGGCTTACATGTGTCTGTCATACTGCACAGCCGGAAAAGGATTAAATTTATTTTTTGGATTATCAGTTCAATTTCCTATGCGTCTTCTTTGTCTCCAGCTTGTTCGCTGGACAGTAAATCAGTAACATCACCTCTGTCCAATTAGCAGCGGGGTCATCTAGAAAGCAGCAAAGCTGAGCCAGGCATAGTAAAATGGAACCATGAAGTAGTAGATTGATCTTCACAGATTTGAAGTGTGACAGAGTTGTGTAAATCACAAGACTGGTTGGACAGAATTGCAAATACAGGTGAAACTCGAATAATTAGAATATTGTGCAAAGTTCATTTATTTCACTAATGCAACTTAAAAGGTGAAACTAATATATGAGATAGACTCATTACATGCAAAGCAAGATAATTCAAGCCGTGATTTGTCATAATTGTGATGATTATGGCTTACAGCTCATGAAAACCCCAAGAACCCCAAATCCACAACCTCAAAAAAGTAGATTATTACATGCAATCAATAAAACACGGATTGCACATAGAACAATATCGGACCTCTGAAAAGTACAAGCATGCATATGTACTCAGTACTTGGTTTGGGCCCCTTTTGCAGCACTTACTGCAATTACTTTTGCACAATATTCTAATTATTCGAGTTTCACCTGTACTTTGGCAAGTAAAACTGTATTTCAACTGTGTATTTAGCCGTTTGCATAGAGTTACGTATTCCATATACACTTTAATGTATCCTACCTCAAAGTAGGAAGAATTCCAGTTTCGATGGACTGAAATATGCAAAAGGAAAAAACATGCATGCAGAAATATGCAGGCAGTAACAATTCTTCGCTTACATTTGAAAAGCGGACAATATGTCAGGAAATTCACAAATGCAGGGTAATCATTATCTTGCTCATCATAACACAGAAGCAGTTAGCACCAGATTGAAGGTAAAAGATATAGTAATATTTGATTCCAGCTTTGTTTTTTGCTTGCATAGTAAATTGAGATCTGATTCTAAGACAGAGCGGCTTGTTGTACTAGGCTGAAATAGTGCGATTTTGTATTTCATGAACACACACGAGAGTTGGGGACTCCTTACTATATTTTCAGGATCTGTCGTTTGGCATTAGGCCTATGTCACATTGGCCAAAAACAGAATTGTTAGAACCAAACTCATCTTCTTTCATAGTATTGCTTTTTTATTTCCTGAAGCCGCAAAATGCCATTGCATTGCTTCTCATCCTAATTGAACAGGAACAGGATTCCATGATGTTTTGGCCAAGAAGGACTTTGGTGTTTTTGCTAGTGGCAGCATCACCACCATGACATGGTCCTTAGTGACTTTGCTTGCATTATTTAGAGGGTACCGGAGAAAGTGTTGAGTAGTTGTGCAAATATTGAAGGCTACTGGACATGTTCTATTATTCTCAGAGAGCCATGTATAATAGAACATAGAGAAAACCTATAAACAAGTTAAATTCGAATAATGTGGCAAAAATAAAATAGGATGCATTTTTCTCACCACTTTTTACCTTCAGCTCAATTTTGCTTCACATTGTAAAGAAAATGTTCTGATACTTAATCAGCTGCAGTCACTATTCTGATGGCCATGGGCGCTGGCTGTGTGAATGCGATAGCCAGCAGGGGAGATTCCTCCATCCATGCCGTTTACATGGAAGGGGGAATGAAGAGAAATCTGTATGTCCAGCATGACAGCTTAGAATGTGAAACCCAGCTAGAATTTTTGCTTTAGAATCCTATAGCCATGTTAATTCCCCATTCTATGGGTGTGATTATGGTGTAGCCTTCTCACTTAGGTTCTTCAATAACCTTCCTTAAATAGCAAGAGACAGGAAAATAAGCAAATCTTCTATCCTATGTAGGGAAACATTTATACAAAGAAACCACAGATATTTTTTTGTTAAGAATTAGTCTTTAATGGAATACAAAATACAAATATTTTGTGTGCTTAAGTACATGTACATCTTTGGTTAGCAAAAAAAAAAGAAAAATTTGATCTCGCACCCACAACACAGACCTAAGAAAAAAAGAAAATTAAAAGTATTGATAAAAAGAAAAAAAAAAATCAGACAAATTACCTAAACAGCACAACTTCCAATCAATACGTGCTCAGACAAGTGTATTATACCTCAAATGCCAGTACTGTCCTGTCCTGTATAGATGATGAATGTGCACCTCAAACCATTACCATTTTTTACACCACAGAATGGTCAATTATAGACAATATTCAGGTGCCTTATTATATGCAAATAAAAAAAAAGTAAAGAAAAAAAGACACAATTTGGAAAATGTGTGTGTGTGTGTGAGAGATATCCATACGGTTGTATCTGGCTCTCCGTGCACCATGTCTGATATGCTTGAGAGATTTTCTTGGTGGATTTTTTAATTATTTTTTTTCCAAGGTAGGTCTCCAGGTCTTTCCTAAACACCCCCCAACCCCCTTTTACCCCCCCCCCCCCCCCAATTACACCGGCATGTAGAATGTGATAGTACACGTGCAGGGCTAATTGAGACAAAAACCTACCAGCGTGTCTTTGGAATGTGGGAGGAAATCCAAACAAAGACAGGGAGAACATAAAAACAAGGAGAAATTTGGTGTCTTGGACAAGATTCAAACCAAGGACCCAATGCAGCAAGGTATAAGTGCTAATCATTAAAAGAACTATGGCCACACCTTTTTGGTCGAAATTCTCTGCAGCCGGGAAAGAGCCTGACAATATTGTTACTGTCCCATCCCCAAAAGGAAACAAAAATAATGACTATAAAGCATTAGTCCTTAGTGTATTTGAATTAAAAATTTTAATTCAACCACAAAGCCTTTCAACTATATTTTACATATGAGATTGTTAAGATAAAAATATTGTACAAGTAGTTCAACACGTCTTCTGTACTGCAAGACACTAAGATGTCCCGCTCTGCCCTAAAAACACATTCTCAGACGTACTCCTGGAACTCCCTGAATATCCTTTGCAAATACTGAATTTTTGAACATCTGTATTTACATAGGGCTAGTCATGTGCCAGCCCTTCACATGACAGTGTTTGGGCTATGCAATTGGTCCCTCAGCAACAAAGCACTGCATTGTGGGAGGTGTGGAGGTATTGCAGGTTTGACCCATCCCTAGAATTGTGTGAATGCACTATTAAGGATACAACTAAAGGATCCTGTATGACAGTCTAAACAAGTACCAAATTCAGATTGTATTTGATGCACAAGCCTCAATGAACAAAATATTACCCTCCCCTGATTTTAAATCATCCCTTATTTGTGTCACACACTCCCCCTCCCAGGCACTGCAGCTCACAGTGGGAGGGTTTCAGTAACAGAGGCAGTGCTGTCAATGCAGAACTAGGTGTGGGCAAGTGTTGATAAGCAGGCTACAAGTCCCTGCAACATTTTCTCATCCCACTGTAGTGCAAGCAGCCATAACTTACATGGGGGAGGCAACTCTGCTCAAGATTCAGGAGCAGTGCAGTGGTTACTACTCCATCATAGGAAGCTGCATCAGGTGGCCTTTACTGCCAGGATCAAAAGGTATTTGTAGGACTTTGCAGAGGGACTAAGTTCTACTTGCGATATGATGGGAAACAAGAGTTTCACTAGGAAAATTGTTTGTGTAATAAAAGGCATAATATTTTAAAATGGTCTTAAAATTCCTCATTACTTTTTTAAAAGGAAAGAAAAGGTACTGTAGAAGACCACTTTATTAAAGTTCAAAATGTTTTGACGAAAACATAGTTGCAATTGTTTCCACAACCTGTGTCAGCTGGCATTGTTTGAGGACACACCTTTGTTTACTGCTCTTTGGACCTTGGATTTCTTCTTTTGTTTGAATAAGGAGGATCATCTAAAAGGGGGAGAGAATAAAAGTTTAATGATCAAACCCAGACATTTATACATGTGTATTAATTTTCTAACATACTTGTTTAAAATCTAGGTTAGCATAATTTTCAAAAGAGAACCTGTCACTTCTAACCTGTGCACAGGTACTCCCGTCTGTCTAGTGGTGCGTGACTGTAAAATCCACATCTGGCTCTCCCAGAAGTCAGTCTAATGCAGATATAGATGCAGGGATATCACTTCCAGTGAAAACCTAAAGGTTCCAGAATCAACACAAGGACAACTCTTTCAGAAGTCTCCCTTATTTGTATTCAATTGTCTTGACAGAGGTTTTTGGGATGAGATAACTTCCTATCAAATATACTTTTCCAAATGACTTTGTATTTACTCCATCACTAAAAACTGAAAGCTATCCCCTCAAACAAGAGTGGTTATAATAATGGACATCAATGGCATACTTTTGTTATCATACTGCCATTTCACTTGTTCACTGCACAACCTGGATGTGTAGTGTGGGTGATGTTTGGTCACCAGAGTTGATTATCTGTTGTAGGTGGGTCATTTGCAGCAAACATCTGCAAAAGTAAGGTTCCTAATCTGTGTATGGCACAACATAAAAATATAAAAAAAGCTAATCTGAACCCAAAACCAAAAACATTTAATAGATTGCTCTAGCGAGTTGTTAGATATTGTGTCTGGATTAGTTTCCTTCCTTTATTTTCACCAGGTGATCCTATGAATAACACATCCTGTCCTTGATTGGCTATGCTCACCCCACTGTGCCTATGAAGGGAACCAGGTTTGCCACCCAGGCTGGACTTCAAGCATGTTAAATGCTAAAACCCATCAAGTTTTTTTGTCCCTCCTGTCCTCTTGGGAAGAACTTGTTTAAATTCCTGTCCTTAGGACGCACCAGAAAGTGAAGTTAAAAACTCTCCAAAATGGAATACATTCCCTACTTAGACAGTTGTCACTGGAACAGGGGTTTTCATTGTAAGATTTACCCTTACCTCTTGTTCTGGTGGCAACTGTAACATTTTGGATTGTCCATCAATTTCTGTCTTTGTGAGAATATTCACCAAGACAAATTGAGAGGTGGAATCTTCCCAGTGGATACACAAACAGCAGTAAAACTATGACAATGGTGCCAACTCCCCTACTATCAAAACTAAAGAAATAAAGTGTTGGCTATACATCCACTTATCTCTATCCATGTATATATGGAAATAGTTACAAAATTATGTTAGCCAGTAGCATTGTTCGGATATTAAGGTATATTGTATGCAAGGTTCACTGGTTCGTTGGGGCTGAGAGTACTAGTGACGCAGTTCACGGTTTTCTCACCTTCCATTTCTGAATCACTGTCTTCCACATAAGGCAGGTTGATCAAAGTCTGCTTTTTGTCTCTCAGGACCACCAGCTGAAGCTTCCCACGCGATTTCTCGATCAAAGCCTGGGCTTCAGTTAAAGACATGTTCTCTGTCAAAATACCGTTGATCTAAAAACATAACAAAGACACGCCATCATCATCTTCTAGAATGTAAACAGCAATACATAGCCAAAGCAAACTATTCTACTACAATATGTAATACTGTTTTAAATAAAATATTTTTAAGTTCCACTAATGAAAGACTTTCTCCACTGCATTTGTAACTTGAAAACAATTATGTTTTAAAACAAAGTATAGTGACATATACACAGTTCTGCCACACATATGCTATAATTTGTTAAAGGACCAGCCAAATACCATTTCTGATTTGTCTAAAGGCCAACACATTAAATCTCCCATCTATCTGATTATGAACGCTTGCAGCAAGCTCTCTCTTCCAGAATTCCCAGTTCTTCCTCTCCACCATGACCCAAAGCATCACTCCTTCTACTGCACTCTTTATAATATAAAATGTATGGGGAAACTCAAAAGGGAGGGAGAAACATCTCCTTGAAATGACAACACGAGGCGAGAGAATCTGAGAATGTAGATACAAAGATCTTCCCAAGGCCATGAGTAATACAAGAACTGACATGATAACTAAACCAATCAATATTTACGGAAAAGTGAAAGATCAATTTTGGGATTTACTAGTAAGTAGACCAGTCATCATAAATAAGAGTTGCCTATCCTACTGATTAAAGGAAACGTGTACTGACAGAGATGTAGGTAGTCATTGCTGACAACCTTTTGAAAACGCCATCTCCCTTGGTTTTGGTTCCAATATTTTCCAGAGTCACTGACCCAGAACAAGCATGTAAAAACAGTGTAGTCAGGCATCCATGGCCCTAGTCAGTGACTCAAAAGTTTCAACCAGTACAACAGCCAGGCAACTATCAGAACAGAATAGTAACCCACTAATAATGGGCCAAGTAGCAAAGTCTTTAAAAGTCACCATAGGAAAACTATACATGTGCTGTACACAACAGATCACAACTATCATCCATTTTTTATGTTTACCTGGCTCACCACTTTCAATTTGCCGACAGACTAAATAATGATAATAGCAAAAACATTAGCTTGCGTTCAAGGGTGTAAGCGAGGCCAGTCTTACAGTAAAACATGTGCCAGAAGAAATACAGGACTGGCATTGCTATCCTTGTTCTAAAAATGCTTGTTTCCTGGCTGACTTACTGGTTTCAATACTTTCTCAGGGTTCTGAAGCAAGAGGCTACCATGACAGACAGGTAGAGTGTCCGTTTTTTTACTACGGGCGGACGGCAAGAGGTTAAGGAGTAGTCTGCTATGACCGCCTGCATGTTCCACTACAGTTTCCCTTTATGGCATTAATACACTGCAGATGGTTTGTGGAGTGAAAACGGTATATGTCAAGGCTAAACGCTAAATATTTCATTGCAATCTTTATATGCGAACTGATTTACTTGTCAAATGATTTGCAATTATGTTTGCCAGCCCTGTGCACCAGACACTCCTGCAAAACAGCACAACCGGGTGCCGGACCTATCTGCATACTACAATACATTTAAGCAATATGGCATGATTCGGGACCTGCCCCAACCTTTAACTAGATAATGAATGGTAGCAGTACACTGGTCAGGTCATCCTTCCTGTAAGCATGTTGACAGTATTAGACTGGCAGCGCTGCGCACAGCAAAAGATAAAGCCCCAAGCTGCTGTGTGGGGAAATACAGGAAGATGATGAGGAAGATTTGGGGTAATTACTAGGGATGCACCGATATATCGGCCGAAAATGGCACTTTTGGCTAAGAAAGTGCCATTTTCCTGCCGATACATCGGCACATCCGTGATTTCTTTCCTCCCCGCTGGGCGCTGCTCTGTGTTCCAGCGGGGAGGAGAGAAAGCGACAGCCGGCCGAGCGCTGAGGGACAAGAGCGCTGTGAGCGGCCAGCGTCTCTCCTCCCACACCGCTCGACCGCCTATCACAGTGTGGCAGAACGGTGTGTGGTCGGAGACAGCGCTGTTACAGGAGGCTGGGCTCTCCTCTCTCACCGCTCACTCAGCCTCCTGTGACAGCGTGTCAGAGAGGAGAGCAGGCTACATACACTCAGTGATCGCTGAGTGTTTGTAGATAATCGAGGACATGGTATGTTTATTATATGCTCAATTATGAATGAATGAATGGGAAGTGATCTACATCACCTCCTGTTCATTCATGATTGTGGTTATAGTAAACATACTATGTTCTCAAGTTAGCAATGAACAGGAACACTCAGTACAGAGGCTTCCTGTTCATTGATAACAGAAAAGGGATACAGAAAAAAGGAGTGAGGACTCTGTGTTCTCAAACTCTTTTTCTATTTTAAAATGGAAATATCAGGGGTCTGTTTAGACCTGTAATATTTTCCCGAAGCCCTTAAAAAGTACAAAAAAAAAAATATTTCATAAAAAAAAAAAAATTAAACAATTTTAAAAGTTTATAAAAAATAAATAAAAATAAAATTAAAACATTTTAAAAAATGAAAATTAAAACATTTTCGGTATCGGTTTCGGCCTGACAATGTTTTCTATTTGGTTTTGTTAGCAAAAGAGAAACAATAATGATTGAATATATATCTGGATTAAACAGTGTTTTACATCTGCCAGACGTTCAGCTGTATCTAATGAACTAAAAACTAAATTTTCTACAAAGTTCTGGTCTTCATAAAATAACAGCACTACTTGATCACCTTTCCAAATTAAATGTTCACATAAAGGAACAGGCTTTTAGGAATCTCCATCATGTTCTTTTCATATGGCTAGTGCTTTTTTTTAATATGAAATACATATTTAAGTAGTCTAGCTTATGCTAAAGTATTCAGCTGTCATCTAAACTAATGTGATTTTGTGTTTCTTCAACACATTTATAGTGACAAACATTGCATGCAAAAAAAATATGGAATAAGAAAACCAGATGTACCAACTACCTTGAGAACAATATCCCCTTCATGCAAATTGCCATCTTTTGCTGCCAAGCCAGTGCTTGTCAATCCCTTAATGTAAATCTGACTTCCAAGCCGAAGCCCATATTCTGCAACACAAAATGAAATACATAATGGCACTTGTATCTGACAAAGAGAAAACCGGACATTAAAAATAAGAAATGCTTGCCTTCATTTGACTTTTTCTTTGTTAAGAGAACACTTGTAGTTGTGTCTGAAGAAGATGGGCTAGGGGACTGAAGTCTGTCTCGACTTTGACTTTTCTGCAATTCTTTTTCATATTTGCGGTCAGGTGAAGCCCTCCTAGCATAACCTCTCTCTGGGCTGTTCTGGGCATTTTTATCATAGTATTCATCTTTATCTAAGGCTCTTCCACGACTGCTATCCTTTTCATAGGTTCGCGGTTCATCCAAGTCTCGGTCAAGACTCCTGCCTCGACTTCTCTCTCTTCTGTACCCACGATCCTCATCCAGACCACGGTCTATGCTTCTGCCACGGCTGTGGTCTTTCCGGTAGTTCTGTTCATCATCAAGGCCTCGCTCCATACTTCTGCCACGACTATATTCTGGTTTAAGTACATAGCCAGCATTAAGATCTTGGTCAACACTTCTCGCACGGGCTCCATATCCTCTTTGATCTCTTTCATGATAAGCAGCCCTCTCCTGGTCTCTTCTGTAGCCTGGGTTTGGATCTACACTCCTATCACTATATGCACTGTAAGTTGTTCTGTTTTCAAATTCTGGATAGTCATCCATCATATCCAAAGCAGGCTCAGATTTGCTTGGAACACCCATTTGGACTCTTCGTGGTCTTCTTACCACCTGTAAACATTCCAGTACAAGTTATCATTTTACTTAACCCGTAAAGATCAAACAGGAAGCACAAAATTTTTTCAGTAAATCCATGTAAAATGCAAATTATACTTTTGTGAACATCAAGATAGAGATATATATATATATATCTATATAAAAAAAAGAAGACTCTGGTCATGTTTTCTAGCCATGATAAATACGTCCATATACTCTTCTATGTTGTGTGCGTACAGAAATTACTTAGAATACGGACTGCCTTGTGATGACATGAGAGCAGCAATGATTTCAATACATTCTACTGTTTAACCCCTTCCCACCCACAATCTGTTTATTAATGTTCCTCAGCATAGCACCCCGATTGTGGGTTACATTGATAAACATCCCCCCTTTTAAGAACCAGCACTGCCCAAACTTTTTTTGCTGCAGTTAAAATATTAAAGTCATGCCCTTGCCCAAAGACTCTGAATGCACCATGAGGAGCAACAGTAGACTGATAAGCTTATCTCTGGCTGTCACTCTGCTCTCTCCTCCTGTCAGCATGCCCTGTGTTAGCAATGAGCAATACAGCAAACCTGATTGTCTATTTGTGCTGCTTCTTAGTTTAGCTCTGCTGCACAGAAAAGAGAGACTGGTACCAAGTCTAATGTAGGTACTTACATTAGTTTCTTTTAAAAATACATTGAATCACTTTTTAGGAACAAAATAACTGTATGAATTTGTGTTTTTCCATTTGCTCACTCTCCAAAAATGTTTTTCCTTATGTAGATTTTGATTTGTATTATATATTACATTGCCCTAACTCAACTTGCTTAAAAAGAGAAATGGGGGTAAGTGTTTTTTCCCATAGTTCTCTTTAGGGTCACAGGAGGACATATGCTAACCTCCTCCCATGACCCAAAGCTCAGTATATGGCGGGCCATTGCCCGCCATATACTGAGAGCGCCGCAGCCGGGACGGATCCCGATAATACTGTTGTGAACCACCCAGCTGCATGAGTGACAGCTAGCTCTGCCTATCTAGAGGGAGAGCCAGCTGTGCCCACCCCCTCCCCTGTTCGTTCCTCCACTCAGCGCTGGAGGATCAGAGAGGGGTATCCCTACAGGGAGTGACTAACAGTCACCGCAGGGAGGCGATCGTGAAGTGAGCTTTCCAATCTATTGAGCCGACGTGTGACAGCTTCTTTGTCACAGGTCGGCTAGAACTATGAGGATGAGTGGAAATCACTCACCTGCTAGTTCTCTTTAAAGTTAAATATATTTAATGTTAGCTTTAGGGTATTCTTGGCATGAAGTTGTAAATTTACATTGCTCTTACACTAGATTCACAAAGAATTAGGAAATCACAAAGTTTGCTATATGTGTAATGGATACAAAATTGGAATGAAAACAGAGTAAAACATACATTTATAAGCATGAATAAACATGCATAAAACCAGTCAGTCATACGGCATCACTGAAAATGAGCATATACTTTGACTCCTAATATTAACAGAACAAACAGAATTCAAAAATAAAATAAATTGGACGTATAAAGTAAGAGGTCAGTATGTTGTAGCCAATGTTTGGAGATGCACACAGCTTTTGCTAAAATAAAGTTAGAATATTCTATACATTTGGCGATCCATTTAGATGTTGCATTATAAATATAGTAATACTGATGTCAAAGGAATGTACAGTCAAACAACATGAACGGGTTTCAGACAAAAGTCAGACTAATGGTTTCATGACAGTACTAAACTTCTGGCCTGTTATGTTTGTTTTTTAGTCTTCTTACCGCAGCTACATAACGACAGCACTCTACAAACTTCGCCTGTGGCTGAGGAATGAGCAATCCCAATTGTAAAAGACCACTCAGCTACAAAGTAAAAACGGCACAAAAGCTACGTGCACATTTTCTATTTTCAGGGCTAAGCAAGCCACATATAAATCCAGCTGGTAAATGTCTACTAGTATGATGGGGCCGGGAGGTAAATATGCCTTAGGTTGTCACACAACTACCTCTTCTTTGCTTCATACCAATGTAAGGATAGAAAGCCCTGCTAGTGGAGTTCTTGTGGTGGTCAATCCATGAACATACCTGCTGAAGATGAATGGTACTAAGCAAGTTTCACTTGGAAGTACTCTGGCATCTCCATGCAGTAATCCAGACTTGTGAACAATGAAATACATTAATTCACTCTGTTCCCAATGTAACCCACCAGTGAATAATGCTCATTCTGGTTTAGGCAGGAATAAAACCCTTGCATTTCAGCACATGCAGTATAAAAAGGGCAGAATAAGATCCCAAAAAGGGACAAGGGTTTTAGAGTGACCCCATCATAAAAATTAAGTATTTGAAGAAAGCACATGCTTGTAAAAAAAAAAAAAAAAAAAAAAAGAAGAAGAAGAAGAAGGAAGGAAGGAAACACTTAACTTTCCTGCTGCCTGCACTGCTAAAAAGCCAATCTATTCCTGAAAAAATTGTCCCCCAAAGTCTGCCAGTACTCTCAGGAATGGAGCGGAGTTCATATTTGTGGGCAGCGGGAAAGTTAAGTATGCTAAAGCGGGCCTTACACTCTTCTATTTTATTTGTTCAACCCTCCGGGTAAATTAAAAAAATCAAACAGATTCCTCCATCAATGCTTACAAACGCTGATCGAAGATTTCCCTGCTGTTCCCTTAGTATTCCGACAGCGGCCGCCGGCGTGTGGCCAGCTTTACTCGTCTCTACATGTACATACTCCCCTTATATACATACATGTGCTCCCCTTATAAAAACTTTACGTATATGACAGGGTCACTTTATGTAGTGGCAAAGTACATGCAAAAAAAACCCCCCAAAAAACCAAGGGAACAGCGCCTTTTCCTCGTGAAATAGTGTTTAATTCGTCCATAAAAAACTGAATAGAAACATATACTCACAAACATCTGTACCATATGCAATCATAAACAACCGTCCAACATCGGTTGGCACCATAATGTACTGTTAAACACTCCCAAGATGTGAGCAGAAGCAATATACTAGGCCTTGCTGACGCATTTCCAGGGATAAACCCTCTTCCCGACTCCTAGACCTGCTTTGGGTCTAGGAGTCAGGCGAGCAGTATTACTAAGGATATGGTCATGGAGATATCTGTTATTGGTCACATGGGTGAAATTTGCACAATATGATAGCAAAGATTATTGATTGACCGTTTGATGAAAAAGGAAGAAAAAAAACAAACTATTGCTTAAGAAGAAAAATAACTGAACTGTATATATCAGTTATTGTTTAATTACATTAATCTGCACAGAACTGCATACAGATATATTATAAGTGGAGCCATCCAAGAATTGGTTGCACGGGTGTTTTTGGAACTTTTTGCATATATACTGTCATTCTATACAATTTATTTTGCTGGTGATATTGATTGTACAGTCACTTATTACTTATCTCATCGGAGCACCTTGCATTATAGCTATAGATCAAGATTGGATTTTATATTGCTGGATTTATGGTAGAGAATTGTTACGGTATCTAATTATTGCACAGTCACTTTAGTATATAATACACAGATTGTTAACACATACTACACTTAGCAGGGATTACAGCGCGGCACGTTTTGTATACGATTTCATGTTGTACAATCAGCGCTCAGTAGCGGAATCAAACAGGACGCCCCAGCACCAGCAACTGGAGCTGCCACAGCCACCGCTAGAAGCCGGGCCCACTCCATAAAATTAAAAAAATCAGCAAATAGATGTCATGAATGCATAATTAAAAAAATCAGTAGAAATCACAATTTGATGCCGCTATGGAGTGCCAATTGTACAACATGAGGGAGTTAAATTTCTATCGAGACCAATGCACATTGGATGCATCCGGCTTGTTCCCCGCCCACCTCCTCTCACCATCTCTATGGGAACTAAGATGCATACCAGGCGTGTCCCGCTTATTCACTGCCCACTTCTGCTGAGTTCTTGCGGGGGGAAGTGTCCCTGAACGTATCTCCAAGCAGTCTTTCTGTTCAGTTAGGAGTGTGATCATTCATACAATCACCAACTTTCCTGCTCCACCCTTCTGGTTCTGCCTCCTTGGTAAGCAATCAGCTTTTTGGAAGTCATGTGTGTGTGTGTGTGTGTGTGTGTGTG